CAGTTGTTAACTTTACTGGATATAATTCAAATTCTACGCATGCCATGTAGCGAAATTTGGTTTAGTATTATTTATAATTAGTTTATCTACAACTGTTGTACTAAAGATTTTCTTATAAAACGATAACCAAATAGATATAACGTTTAAAATTGTTTTTATAATGTTTATGTTTATGAGTACACAATTTTGTTTTACCCTCTAAATATTTTTTTCCAAATAAAATACGCAAAATGTTACAAACAAAAATTGTAGTATGTTTCTTAAGGTTTATAAATATATATTTGATTAGTCATCAGCATCCGCGCAGCCCCGCCCGTCAATACATAGCCTAATAAGGACCGGCACCGCTAAGTTCTCAACTGTTTTATATAAATCCTAAGACTTCCTAATTTGTAGCCTACATTACTACCAAAACAATCTGTTTCCAAGCTAAACCGTGACTAAATGAATCACCTCACGGTCAGTAAAAATTTTTCATCGACTCACTAATCCTTGATACAAACTGCGTCCTATCGTTGATATGTCCCTCTCTTCACGCTTCCCGCTAGCAAATAAAATATGGCTGCTCTGCCATGAGTTGTAAGCCTGTGTTAAAATAATATCACGAGCAACGTAGAAAACTGTCGGTAGTATTTATAAGCCATTTTTAATCAAATTAAAACCAGTCAATGTTAAAACTAACTTTTTTATTTAAAAACACTTAATAAGCGCCTTCATCTTTATTAGCGATGTTAAACGTTTGCATAATGTCTACCAAAAACCAATAAAGAACTATTATGCTGACTAATTTTTTGGATAACATGAAAACAATAAAATATTAGAGAACAGAACATCACCAAGATTCACAGTATAGAGTCTCTAAAAATGATTGATCTCGACTACGTATTAGTGCCGTAAAGCAGATTCGTAATACATTGCTGCCAATTTTTACGAAAAAACCCTCAATATGATTGACACATCTACACAATATGTTAAGAAATTTGAATAATCTGCCTGTATGTATCCCGTAAATAGTCTTGCCTGCATGTATGGGGACACAAATAGTTTTTTACTTACTTATTTATAAATTTTGGATATATGCCTTATTACATTAATTAATTGGAAAGTAAATAAAAGAAAATACGTCTAATAGTCTAACACTTAAAACATAAATTTACACTTATAATGTTACTGACAATACTGTAAATATACATAAAAGATGGTAAGTGGTCGTCGATTTCGATTTGACACTCCAATCATCCTCAGACCCATAGGCGAATTGGATCATCTCATCATTGGGTTCAGTATGTTTCTTACCCAGCTTTATGTAATGTAATATATGTATCCATGTATATTATTGTCAATAGGTTTAGCCATTGACATAAATAATTAAATAAATTATTATTTTAAATGATAAACGAGTTAAAACCAACAATAAATTTAAGAAATGTACAAATGATTAGGTTTCATCTAATTAGTATTTTTTTTCAGTTTACTATTTAGATCTTTACTGACCGCGAGGCGCAGTTAGTATAAATCTTGCGGGGAACAAAGCGAGTCCTATTGGTGGTAGATAATGGAAAGCACATTGTAACGTAAGGAAGAGCAAAGAGTATGTTTATAGTGATTTTTAAAGTGTTTATTAGGCCTAGTGTTCTATACCTCAATCTATTAAACTTTTGTTGGTCAAATATGAAGAAATCAAGTATTAAAAGTATTGCAAGTATAACAAGTAAGTAGGTAGAGATTAATTTACCTGAACCAAAACTGGTTATAAAAAAATTATTGGGTTCCATCTAAATAATAATTGTTTTTACTGTTAACGGTTAAGCTTGGATACAGATTGTTTTGGTAGTAAACTAAAAAGTACAAGGCCATAGCATTTGTATAAAACCTTTGAGAACTTAGCGATGTCGGTGCCTATGACGCGACGCATCGACGGGCGGTGCTGCGCTGCGCGGAAGCCTGCACCCGGTGTCTTTGCCGACAATGCCGACGCCCCACACTACATCAGTTTTCTTTTTCAGATGACTAATCAAATATATATTTATAAACCTTAAGAAACATACTAAAGTTTTTGTTTGAAACATTTTGCGTATTTTATTTGGGAAAAAATATATACAGGGTAAAACAAAATTGTGTACTCTTAAACATAAACATTGTAATACAAGTTTAAATGTTATATCTCTGTGGATATAGTTTTATAAGAAAATCTTTAGTACAACAGTTGTAGATAAACTAATTATAAAAAATACAAACAAAATTTCACTACGATGGCATGCGTAGAATTTAAATTATATCCAGTACAGTGAGCGACTGTAATTTCCAGGTTTTGAGGGGTTTTTTGGGGGGGGGGGGGGGTTGGGGGGGGAGAATCGGGAACTTTTAGAAAATACACGTCTTAAGTGGTTCCATCACATATAACAATCTCAGCTTTCCACTATTTAGCGACGAAAAAAGGCAGTTGGTGCGTTTATTGGCTGGGCTAGATGCGATGACGCAGCGCAGAGGTGTTCAACTAGCGCGCACGCGCTCACTTTGCCGACGCTCAGCTCTTCACCCGGTCACCTAGATGACTAACCAATAATATATTTGTAAACCTTGAAAAACGTACTAAAACTTTTGTTTGAACCATATTTGCGTATTATTTATATTTAAAAGTATACATAGAGAAAAACAAGATTTTGCACTCTGAAACAAAGCTTTTAACGAAGTTTAAATTTTATATCTCCCTAAGTATTGGTTTTAGAAAAATGTTATAAATACAAAAGTTGTAGGAAAACTAATCAGAAATAAAATAAAACAAATTGCAGCTCGATAGCTTACATAACATTCGAATTATGATCAATTAAGTAAATCACTGCAATTTCTATGTTTGGAGGGGGGTGGGGGGGAAAGCTCAAGGGGTAGAAGTGGGGACTTTTGGGAAAATACACCTCTCATGTGGTTCTATCACATATAAAAAATCCAGCTTTCCACCATTTAGTTGCGAAAAAGGCTGTTTTATTGCATTCATTGACTGGGCTACCAACACAGTTCAACTACATCTATTTATAATTAAAAACTGGCGACATAACATGGGATTATATGTCTAGTCCTATCAATAGAGCTACTACCCAAAACCTAAGGGGAGAGAGCTGGTCCAGTGGTGGAACACGGGACCTCCGGGTTCAAATCCTGCCAATCATCAATAGATTTTTATCCAGGGGATAATACTGTAACCTCTAGATCCAGCCTGAAGTAATGTGAAAAACAATCCCGAGCTAGCGCCTAGCTAAACCTTGATCGCTTGAAAACGTCCAGCAGACGACACCTCAGATATTGGGTCACGGACACTTAAGTTCTAAGCCTAATTTTAATAAACAAACACCACCTTAAAATGAACATCAGAAATCACACAGTACAGTTGGCCAGCCCCGTTTCACCAGATGTTTAGCACAAAGACACACAAGTAGCACACAAAATAGCACACAAGATAGCACAGACAGCAAGCCTAAAAATACCTTTATTGATATTGAATTGACTAAATCCTAATACTGTACTAGGCCTTCTTTTGACAATACCTTAGATGTATCAATTGTCACTTTGCCTGAATTATTTAAATTAGTGAAAAAGGATTTGTAGGGAAACCTTAGTGACTAATAATATAACATAGGACACAAGCTTTTAAGGATTTTTTAAAGATGCTAGGTGTACTTTAATGGGAAAGAGTCAACCCTGATACCTACTGCAACCTTTCTTGGTTGACAATTTTGTTAGTGAAAATGACATATTCTAATTATTGTGAAAGATTTTACATAATTGTGTTTATCGCTAAGGGAATCCTATCCCATTCAGGTAAGCCTACAATCCTAACAAACTTTCTTATAACTTACTTATCTGTCTTTTAATACAGGTCTAAGAATTTTGAGACACCCTTCAATGAATTTATTACGTTGAAATTAACTCAAAAATGCAATACTTTCAAAAGGGTTACAGGAAAGCTACAGAGATCAATGTTTTAATCAACCGGAAACCACCCCTGAAGTTTTATATCTAATTTTTCAAACTAATTTGTGACACTTCCCTAACACTGATTTAGTGTCAAGATCATTGTTGAGGTGTAAAAGTTCCCTTAGATTTTGTATGTTTATCTTGTATATCAATATGTTAATGTATTTAAATATTACTTGTGTGACACATTTCTGTGAAGATGTCAACAAAATAAATTTGAGATGAATCAGTGTTAGCAAATTTAAAATTAAATAATAATGCTCCAAAAATAGTAATCTAGTCAGTATATTGATGACAAAAAATCTACATCTTTTATAGTTATTTGATATGTTGGATGAAAATGATAATCAAACTGTGTATAAGAGAGACGTATACAATCTTATACTATGCAAACTTAAGTAGTTTCTAAGCCAAAATGTAAATTATTGATGTCAGATAAAAATTATGTAGGCCTGCAGATAAAGTAACTATAAATTTTACCACCTAGGATTACTATTTTCTGCAGCTAATTACACGGAACATTAATAAACAAGCCTAAAGTCTTGTACTCACCACGCCCTAAGAGCAGACATAAAAAATATTTGAAACCAGTTTATCTTCTAAGAAATAGAAAAAAATTATTATTAATCTATTCCTAAGAGGTCGCATGCGTAGGTATTACTTGATATTAAAACTAAGTTTGGAAGTGTAATAAACAAGTTATCTCTATAAATTTTGTCTAAAGCTAACTAGTATATTCTATTTAGGAAAAACTAAAGAATACAGATTATCCATACATGAAATATATTTCAAATGATAATACTAGGGATGACTTTTAAACCCTCTATTTAAAAATAAGGTTGATTTTTTTTAGGAAAAAGCCCTTGGCTTAGCAACACACATTGTGTTGTAAACGTTGTTGTGTGCTTGAAATGACCTGGAATTCTTTTCTTGAGTAGGTTAGTTGTGTATCCATCCCTTCTTCTTTAATGATGTACTATTTGAAAATAAGTATTACAATAATCGCCAAAGTCGAGATATTAACTCACCATGCTGAATTGCTCAAAGTTATGTTGCAACATGTTGGCCTGATCTTGGGTGATGTAGTAGCTATTGTGCTCAGGGAAACTGATAGGTCCGGTGCTCGATGGACTAGACGGCGACGGACTTTGCGGACTGCTACTCAACGGACTGGCACTGCCGTACTGAAACATAAAAAACTCGTTAGCCAAAGGCATTCCACTATTGTGAGCTGCAAGTTGACAATACCTATAGGAGATAAATCTGAATGAAACATGAGAAGAAACGCCAGAGTAACTGACAGTACAAACTAGTCTTCCGAGTCCAACCCAGTCACTAACAAAAACTTATTATTAAAAGTCTGTAGATCCCCGATATTTTCGGGTTGGGTCAGGCCAATAGTTAGCTCCAGGAGTCCCTTCGGGCAGAGAATAATTTTGGGCCAAACTAGAGATTGTTTCAGGTCGAGCTTGAGATCGTAGAATGTCTCTACTAAGATGTGGGGTAAAAAAATGTACGATTCATCTGTGCTTGTGGATGATGTTGACAGATTTACTGCAATCGTGGGAGACGATAAGTCAGCTGTGGCTACAAGAGCTGTTTTTGATTTTGCTCTAACTGTAGAAGAAGTTCCAAGATTTTACCATGACTGTAGAACATTTTTCTTGGTTTTGACGTGAACGTATAAAATGTTCAGAATTTTGCCCTGACCGCAGAAGATATAAGATTTTGTCGTGACTGCAGAAAATGACTTGACTGTAATTTGGCGAGAGATCCTTTACACTATTGTATGAACCATTTGTACCTATTAATATTTTTCAAACTACTAATTTTGGCCCTAACTGATTTTAGTTTCAGACCCAAGGGATGAAATACTACTTGGTCTCAACCTTAAGTAAAAAAGTTTGGGCCATAGACACTTACTTATTAGTAGTGATCTTCAGAGCAATTACTTGATCATGAATCAGGTGCTACTACTGAAATATTTGCAACGAAGCCAAAATGTCACCTTAGTAATAAGTTGATGGTTGAATAAGGGCGGACCTAGTCCCAGCGGACGTCTGCCACAGGGCTTTTTGCACGCCCCACTTGTTACTGCAGCATCTTATCTATTAGCTTCTTCTGAGGAAGGTGTCAGTCCCTTGTCATGGTAAAGTGGTCCTTTACCTCAATCAGAGCTTTGCAGTAGTAGAGGAGATGGAGTAGATGGGCTCGTACTACTCACATTTCCTAAATGCAGACACTCTGGAAACCATGGCCTTTGGTCATTCCTGTGATCTGTCACAATTGCCTTCTGTCTAATCGTAGCATTGGAGGCGTCTGTCTGGGAAGGGGAGAAGAGAGTGAGCTTGCTTACCCTGTGATGCTGAAGCCTATCCCATCTTTGTCTCTGCTCCTTCTAAGCCCATGACATGACTGACAGACATGTATACGAGAGATTCCACAGAAAAGCTATGGTCCCACAAAGTCTGAGGCTGACGCCATGTTTACCAATTTGTCAGCTACCTCGTTTGCTTATATCACTGAGTATCCAGACCTAACAGATTGCCATCATGTTGCACCTCCCCAGGGCGGATACTGTTGTGAGGCAGTCCCAGACCACCTTGGACTTGAGTTGAGTGCCTTAAGTGCAGCCTGGATGTCTGAGAAATAGAAATGTTCAAGTCTTTGAATCCCTGCCTAAGGTTCTCCCTAGCACACTCCATGGTTTCTATTATCTTAGCTTGGAACTTAGTTGGATGTGTTCCAATGGAAGACTTAAGCGAATCCCCATTCAGCAGTCTGTTAATTCCATCCCCTGTAACACCTCTTACCTTGGAACCAGAGGTATACTATTCCAGGCTGCCTTGTGGAAGAGGATTCCCTCCAGGCATCCACTCCTCTCTAGATGGATGAAGGATGGTGAATTGCTTGGCAAAGAAGTAGGGATGGACGAGATTGGATTTTTAGTTCGAGACGAGACGAGACGAGATTTTTTATTTCTCATAAAATTTCGAGACGAGATCGAGACGGGATTTCCCTTCTCATACACAACGGGAAATGCACGTTCGGAATTTTTACCTGATTTTGTAACATTGTTAGATGACTGTTTAAATACAAAAATAATAATAATAGGCAAGAATATTTACTATCTTTTATTAAAAAACATCAGCATAACATTTTTTTATAAATCACACCTAAATTATTAAAAATGCCTACGATTAGGAAACATAGTGATATCAGTTAGGATAGAGTTCAACTTATCCTAAAATAAAATAAATCATAAAATAAAATATAAATTTTTATAAAATAGTTACTTGTTTTGACTTTTTTATAGTAATAAAACATTCCTCACATTGCTAACACTTAACAAAACTTCTCAAATGTTATTAAAATAATTAAAGTAATATTTACATTTTTGAAGAATTAATTAAATAAGAACGCCTTCGCAAAGGAAACGCAACTACAACACGCTCCTGTATTGCGGGTATTGCATTGACTTTCTGCAGGCGTTTTTAATTTTTTTTAAAATTTTTTTTTATTCTCGTCTCGATAAAAATCTCGGCCAAAAAGAAATCTCGTCTCGTGTAACGAGATTTAAAATTTCCCGAAAATTTCCCGAAATTTCAAGACTTGACCATCCCTACAAAGAAGAATCATATTGACATGTGGTCTGAGGACATGTCCAGAACCTCTTACCTTTTAGGTGATCCGGGAGTGTCTCGGGATCCTCGTGCATTCACCAAAAGGTTTTCACACTGAGGTCTGTAGGCAGCCTTCCTTCAGTGACCTCAAGCAGACCAATTGCAGTCAGGTTTAGGGTTATTTTTGGTCAATTGAGGAAAGCTACTCATCACACGAGTGATGATGAGACAGGCAAGTCTTAGAATGGCTGATCTGTGTGTCATTGCAGGCCTTACCACAGAAACAAACAGCCCCTGTATGAGCCCCCAGGTCCCTCCCACCATTCGCATGCATGCCACCCCCCCCCCCCCCCCAGGAACTTCACCTGACATTGTAGTGCAAGCACTGAGCCTTGCAGTCTCTAAGGTCCTATGACGTTCAGGTCCTGCCTTTCAGGGGTTAATTGAAAGGCTTACCTCTGTTCACCACCGACCAACTGCTAATGAGTAATGAGTTTCTGTCTGTGAAAATTTGTACTCAGGAGACCTAGTTTGTAGTGTAATTGAATAACAAGTTTTAAGTGAATAAATGTTAAACAAATCCTAACTGAATGTCCCTACAGAAAAGTCATTGGAGTTATAGGCTAGTGATAGTGGAATACAGATTTGTATTGATTAATTCCCTGAAACTCACACCAAACACCTTAGCTCCAAGGTAGCACCCTGACTTATAATAAAGTGTTTAGTTTAATAGGATTAAAACTCAATCATAAAACCAGATCTTTTAACTCCAAACCCTGATGTAACAACCTTACCGGTACATAATGACTTAATAACTAAAACAATAACAAGTATATCAATTGATCATGTTTTTCATCAGTTTTGTATATAGCATAATATTGAATAAAACGGGAGTCAATTTCATAAAATAAAATGTTAATTTTCTCGTAAAAATTATTTTTTTTTTCAATCAATACTAGAGGTGTTTAAAGCAAAGAGTAAGACAATTATTCAAATTGGCAAAATAAATCGTAGACATAAAACAAGTAAATAAGTTTATATTAAGGAATTTAAAAAAATCCTATTGTCACTGTCACTAAGAAAATTAACATGTTTTTATTAGTAGGCCCTATCAATAACTTAAAGAAAGTTGTAATTTAATAATAATAATGTTATAACAACTTTAAGTACCCTTGTATGTGTGTTTACATATCATAGCGTTTAATGATATCTTCACGTGTGTAAAGATCGACTTGCTATTTTTCAGGCATGTTGTTCTCATATTATCAAAACACAGTAATCCAAGACAATTTGACAGAAAAATATTCCAACATTTGGAATGTTTTACACCCTTTAAAGTGATGGTAGGTTTATATTATTTTAAGGGACAATATTGGGCATTTACTACCACAAATTTATTTGTTCAATCTTGCTTGAGCCACCATTTTGTGTACAACTGCCCATTGTACTAAGTCTTTTGTTTCTTGTTTGGAATACAGTACGGTTTTGTGTATGGTTTTTGTGATTTTCCAGCATTGGTTGGGCTTTGTGTGACTAATCTTTTTATGATTCAAGCACTCCCTTAACTGAGAACAAAATAATATTTCAGATCCTAAAATGTTTTTAATTTTTTTCTAATTGTGATGGAAAATTTTGGTTATATTAATCCAAATAACAGTTTATATTAACACCTTTTTCAATAATGCTAAAGTCAAAGCATAAAAGTGCCCTTAACAAACCAATATTACCTTTACAGTAAGACCAGGCGAATTCTGTGGGCTAGGCCTATTGACTGGATGGGGTGATCTATATGAGTTAAGTGAATTGACATAATCCTAAAACAAAAAACACAACTTGATGGGCGATGACCAAGAGCAAATAATAACCATGCAATGGTTAGCGAAAAACTTATTATAATTTAAATAATACAATAAACTAAATTTGAGAACTATGATGAAATATAAATGTGAAACTACGTCTAAAACTAAAGTTCTGCAAAGACAATGTTAATCGTTATATAGGTTTAATTAACAACACAAAATGTAATTAAATTTGCTCTTATAAAATATGTTTTGTAATTTAAAACCAAACAGTTATTCTGCAGTAATAACCTGATTTTACCACAACAATGCATTGTGTGAATAAATATAAATATAAATACATTTTAAATTTTATTCTTTCATAGGTCAGTAGGTCTTTAAACCAAAATGAATTCATCAAGAACTTGGCAGATTTTGTTTGTGTTTTAAAATGAAATATGTTATCAGTTCAGAAGTCACTTAAAAATTAATTAATTTATATCTATAAAATAAGTCCTACGAGAAATATTTAGAATTAATATGATTTACCCTCTTCTGGTATAAATATCAGAGGTTAAATGCTGAGCTGAATCATTTCAAGATCCTGGACTTCAATTGAGAAAGATTTTCATAATAGATGTTTCAAAATTTGAAATATTTATCTGATAAATTGAATTTTTTTTTAGTAGTAATAAAGCACAACTTAGCACCCTGAGATAATTATTATATTTTGTAGAAGTGACATGTTTCGGACATGAGTCCATTTTCAGACTTCAATAATTAACAGTGAATACTTAATCTTGTTTACATAGTTTGTTTTGTGTAAATTTAATTTACATTATACAGAAGATTTATAAAACCAGACAGGATTTGGACAATTTGTTGGTTACTGATTTTTAAAAATTGGTCGAAAATTGGGTTTCTTGAAGGAATTTGGCTGATTAAAATATTATTTGGTTTTTTTAGGTTTTCTTCATGCATGAAATATTCTTCAGTTGAATCCATTTGGTTTATTTTGCTTACAACAATTCCTTTCCAATTTAACGACAATTTGTTCATTCTCACAATTTAATTAAACATTACAAGGGATTCAGCAAACAATATCAGGTTTCAAAAAAGACCAAAATCGGATTCAGTTCCAACTATTTGATGGAATTCAGTAAAATTAAGCCACGATACAGTAAAAAACGAGCGCTTAACTGACCACTACAGGTACTGGAGATGAGGATTGTGCTATGGGTAGCGGACTGCACGGCTGCATGGAGTGCTGCGGTGATGGACTCCTCTGCGTAGACTGATAAACCATCTGCGGAGAAAACTGCTCCTTACCCCCTCCACCTCCACTGTTGTCCAACGTTACACCCTGACAAACAAAGACAGATTAATTTCATATGTCAATATTTTTTGTATTTTTTTAATGTAAAAAATTGCAAAACATTTAAGGACAGTGTTCCTTAGGGGTCGATGCTTGGTACAATTTCCTATAATAATACAGCTTTGTGTAAATGCTACTATTTTTCATGTATTATGTAATTATAACATGTTACATCCCATATCAGGTACACTAAAACGCTTTAGTCACAGTTCAAAGTGTGAAATATTAAAACTAAGTATGGGGTTCCAAAGGAATCAATGCTTGGTCCACTTTTCTTTAAGTGTCACAGCTATATGAAAATTTTGCTTAAAAATTTTTCAATTAAAATTTTTATTTTATTTCAGGGTGCTCAGTTATTTTTAATTTAATACCTTAATATTACCAGCCCTATTTCATGAAAATCAAAAAATGAAATTTTACTATTTTTATTTTTAGGTACTGTATGTGTGTAATTGATAACGTGAACATTTTTGTCCAATTTGGGATGTATCTGACAGTTAAGTGCAGTTGTATTGAATCTTGGCCGGGTTTCATAAGCAAGCCACAAAACAACAATTTTTTCCATTGTGGAAAACTCTAAAATTCACACAAACTAATTTAGATTTTTTTCGTCCAGATGGAAAGTTGTGTAAAATAGTTAAATTTGGTCAATTATGATGATTACTTTTTTATGTACAAAGGATAACTTTAATTATTGAAAATCAGTAAATTTGGATGTTATGAAACAACACAACAACAACTATTTAAGTAGGCAATGTTGCCAATTTTTTCTGTTACACTATTTTGTGTATTATTTGGTACGTCGGTCTATGTGTTTTTGTTAGTTGAGAACCAAATAAATGACATAATTTGTTGTAGTGGGTAATTCAATTACTTTACAGTGTAAGTTTTATCTTATGTTTAAACAAATAAACTTAATTTAGCTTACATAAAATATGTTCTTTGCTTGAAAACATCACAACTAAACAGAATACAATAAAGATAAGACTGATTAATTTCCCTTCAAATGTCACAACTAACAAAAGCGTTATGTAAAAATAATCCTTTACGACAACATAAATATTGTATCTAAATTCCACAAACAACAGGAAAGACTATCTCTGTGTACCAGAAAGCAGCTTTTTAGAACTATTCAAAATCAAAGTTAATATAGAAAAACATATTTGAAAACAATTGAAATATCAACAAATCTCTTACTGACGGCACAAGACTAAAATGTTTCTAAACAATGACTATCTACTTATAACAGGAATTAAATTATAATTCCGTAAGAGATTCCAACAGATGCACAAAACAATCATGGCAAATATCTACGGTTAGGCGCTACTACACTAAACACAGGGTCTACCTCACTTACCTTGTGTGGATTAGATTAAGTCCACGTGGCAGTCACAGTTTAAGTATCGAGTTTTGAGTACATTCAATGTTTATGTTGAAATAAAGTGTCATATTTTCAATAAAACTTACTAATATCACAACAAGCGTTTTTTAAGCAATGATAGGTACTGAAAAAGGTTTTTTTAAGCCAAACAATATTGATATAGCTATTTACTGAATCCATTTTGTTATATTTATCTACAAATTTCTACACTAATGACATTATGATGCCGTTTATGAACAAATTTTAGATAATCCGCCATTCCCCGTACACCTTCCCATATTTCAAAAATTGTTTCTATTAATTCTAAGATGAATGCCTATCAACCAACCACAATTTGTCTATTTTCCTTATTGATTGGTTATCAACAATTTATTTAATCGGTAAATCTACTACCTATCAATTTTTTTTTCATGGATTGAATCACAGTCAATTCATACTGTTGGATTTAGGAGAAAAGAAACTTGACCACTGTCCTATTTTGGAAAAACACAGCTTATAAAAATATAAAATAATTTGACAAATAGTTTTTAAATAGCTAACTCAACTAATCCAATTTTTTGCTCAACAATTATTTAATAAAGCATTCCCTACAACTGTCATAACTTTACCCCAAGAACCAACCACCAGTCTATCCGAGCAATGTTACAAAACCAAAATACTTAAATCGTTCAAGCGATAACTGAAATTGTAAATACTCTTGGCTGTTGTTCACTGACCTTACATTTATGTAGAAACCTAGAGTTGAGTTGAGAAGGCACAGAGAGGTGGCTCTGAAAACACACAAGCATGACTTCACAGCAACTACAAAACACACACACCTCTCCTGTTGCTTGTGTTTTTGTTTTAGCGAATTTCCCTATAGGGAAGTAGCTATTACCGTAGGTGGTACGGTAAGACCTAGACCCGGGACCGATTTACTTTTTCATTTTGATGTCCCCAGAGGCCAAAAACACTATTCGTTCAAATTTGTATATATGTATATATATATATATATATATATATACGTCCGTGAACGCGATAACTTGAGTAATTTTTGTCCGATTTTGATGAAATTTGGTTTAAAGGTGTAAAGCGGGATAAACTTGAATGAGTTTGCGAACCAGCATGATCGGACCATGGGAACAGTGTTTTACGGGGGCTTTTATGGGGTAAAAAAAGTTTTTCTCATTTTTGACCCGCAAAACACAACATTTCTCAATTTCTCTCTAGACCTTGTTAAAGAGCTTAAAAATACAAATAATTTAGTATATCAAAGTGTTTTTGTACGGTTATTGGTAACAGAGAAACTTCCAAAAATTGTAAATTTAAAATTCCCATGTTATTCTTATGGAGAATATTGTAAAATGATGTAGTTTGCTTGTTTATTGATGTATTTGGATTAAACTTGGCCAATTTATTTATTTTATACAAAGCTATTAATATTTTACTAAAAAACTCGCTTAATTAGTTTTCTTGTAGCAGCAAACCTAGGTACTCGTTTAACCTAACGTTATTTAAATAGATTTGATCGAAAATCAGTCCAGACAAATGGAAATTCGCTTAGTCGGCAGGTATGCTGTGGCGGGGGTATTTGTTTGTTTTGTATTCGTTAGTTCCTATGCTAGTCATTTCTTTGGATACCTCTGGGAACAAATTTGTTCTCTTGCACCAGTACGAGACAACCTCTACGAACCCTCTTGGCACACGCAAATCTATGATTGTACCAAATCATACACACAGCTAGGAATCGTTGAGAGTGCTTTCATGCCACGATAGCGGGAGTTGATCACAATGGTGTCGCGATAACGCATTACAGTAATTATGATAAGACGATAAATACATTACAAAAAATGTATAATTAGTGAGGCTCTACTGTATATTTTTTATGTAAAAGGAGTGTGCACATACAATAAATAACATACACCTTCTCAAGTGAAATTAACATTACAAAATAAAAAATAGAAGTTAAATTAATCAAATGAAATTTGCTTGCGAGTAACTGTCCGAAACTAAGTAAAATAACTTCAATGCTTTTAATATTACCTACTTTTAACATAAATTTATCTTTTTAAGGAACAGGAGAGGTTCTTTTACTTACCAATTCAAAAAGAATCCCTAAACTAAACTATCTATTCCAAACTAACACTTAACCAAATAAATGCAACAAACTCTCACTATAAACTAAAACTAGGGGTAAGAAATGAATAATTTAGTGACATCTTAGTAGATTTTACCTACACAAACTATATATTTGAGAGAATTTATTTAATGTATGCTTATTAGTTGAGAAACAATGCTTGTTTAATGATTCAGGAGACTATTTTAAAGAGGAAGGGTGGGGTAAGAGGAGTTTTTTCGAGGAATATGCAGAAATATATAAATATCTTAGGTTTAAGCCTACATTTTTCCCTAAACAAATAACTTAGTATTTCAGACTTATTATTTTTTTAATTAGACTAAAAATCTCCTATTAACTACTTTTAGGTTATTTAAGGCATTATTCAAGGTTAGTATATTTTTGAAGCATATGATTTTACTTTCATTACTCAAATTTACTCCTTGATAGGCCAAGATCGGTTATTTAAACTAAAGTAACATACATTAAATATATGCAATTATATTTATATTTTTATGCTTTTATAAATTATATTCTTACACATATAATGCTCATAAGACTATATAAAATGATTACCTAACAACTTTGATTAATAATATTTATCATTTATATAGAAAGGGCTATAACAGTAAACATTTATTTATTTTTTACAAAATTGATACTTTAAGGTAACACAGTAGTCAAAAATTTAAAAAAAATATATTTTTTTTATAATTAATTCTAGTTTAACATTTTATTCTGAATCCATAGATACCAAATATGTTATATAATAAAATTTATTTGATAGATTTTTTGTCATTTATTATAAATCTTGCACAGCTGTTTCAGTGATCGCATGACAGCGGCTAAGGCTTTATATGCAAAAATAAAAGAAATATATTTTTTTATGATTAATTCTAGTTTTAAATTTAATTCTGAATCCATAGATACCAAATATGTTATATAATAAAATTTATTTGATAGATTTTTTGTCATTTATTATAAATCTTGCACAGCTGTTTCAGTGATCGCATGACAGCGACTAAGGCTTTATATGCAAAAATAAAAAAAAATAAAATATTTTTTTTTATTAATTCTAGTTTTAAATTTAATCCTGAATCCATAGATACCAAATATGTTATATAATAAAATTTATTTGATAGATTTTTTGTCATTTATTATAAATCTTGCACAGCTGTTTCAGTGATCGCATGACAGCGACTAAGGCTTTATATGCGATTTACCGAAAATTTACTTTTTTCTTCGTCTGGTACATTTTATTGACACATTTATGAACCGATTTTAATGAAATTTTTTACTGACCTTCTGTGTATATTAACAAATAATAATAGGAAGTGAAATTAAAAAAATATTTGATACAACCCGAGTTTTAATTATTTTTTAATTAAAAAACGTGATAAAATATTTATGTTTTTGAAAAAATTCATAAAAAAATTATTTTTGACTTTAGAACAAAAGTGAGTCTATTATCGTTGAGAAAGGTGTGTAAGACAATGTATAAAAATTTCAGGTTGCTAGGATAATTTTTAAAGAAGTTAGGTGTACCTAAAAATCCTGAAATTAACATGGACGGGATAGGGACTACTGTGTTACCTTAAGTTGATTGGCTGTGTTTTTTGATGCAACGAGTAATGAAGGAAATGAAAATATTGTTTAGATCAATTTTATACCTTACAGTTAAAAAAGTATATTTGTTTATGAGTAGCATGATTAATTTTTCAATAGTTTAAGGATGCTGCCAATCATGCCACATTTGGGAACAGTTACTTTACATCTATCTAATATTTTTTTGCTATATTCTAAGGGTGGACCATTTAACATGTAGACTAGAGGTCAAGATGTTGGATGCGCATTGTAGTCTGTGTAACAATTACATGACCTGTGGTTATAATGCTTGCCTTCAAATCTATATGTCGCACATTCTGGACCCAGGTGCCATTTGTAATGTAGCCAATTAGAAAGAAATATAATTTTGAACGTTACACATATGGCAGAAGGCCTTAAAACGGTAAAAAATTTATGTAATGTAATTTTATGAGAATCAAGCTAAATAGAAAAAAAATAACTTGAAAAACAACTATTTTACTTGTAATATGGGAAAGTAATATCTAGTTTGACAAGTTCACTTAGCAGGGGTCTGAAAAATGACTTTTTAATTTCAATTTACTAGACATGCCTTAACTGAAAAAACAAACTTGTTAACTTTATTGAATTTAAATTTATATTTTTAACTCCATAAACAAATTTGTAAACATTATTATATTTAGATATAAGATTTAAATAGCTAGACTATTAAAAATTGCCAATTGCAACTTAGAAACATTATCATTACTTTGAGATACCAGCTCACACTTGGGGGGGGGGGGTATTTTTAGCTGAATACGAATGTTTGTTGAGTTTAGAATGGAGTGAAATGATCCTTTCATACTTACTAAGATCAGCTGTTTCTTTAGTCAGAATCATAAAGGTCAAATGGTCAAGGATAGCTGGATTCTACTACAGGCCAGGATCAAAACGGCGACCTTTTGAATGTCAGGCAAGCACTGTAAGCTTTTCTTTTTTATTATACTACAAAATTCATCTTAAGATATTACGTTTCAGAATAACATACAAGTTTGGAATTGGATTTCAGTATCAATAAACAAAGACAGCTGGGGCCGGTTCAGCGATCAAAAACAACAGAAAAAAATAAACTACAAATGGACGTAAAAATGTTTTCCGACTCATCATATCTACCCTACAGACCACTCAGCTTATCCACATCAAGGTTTAGTGACGGGGGAGGGCGGTTACAGCACAAAAACAACCACAGGCGGAAAACATCAAATATCAAATTTGAGGCTTACGGCCACAGGGTGTCCCAAAAGGGGGCTGGGGGGACTGGGCGACTCCTGGTTTGGGGGAGAGGTTTGGGGGAGATTCGGAGGGGAGCTGCCCCCAAACGAAAATCGCCCTTGGGGTCGGGAAGTGGGGGAAAGCGTAGAGGGACTGGTCCCTTGAGGGCTCTGAAACAGTCATAAGACAAACGGTGCAGTTTGACCAACACAAGGCGTGGTAGATAAGCGCAAAAACCAGGTAAAACCACACACTGCATCAAAACTCAACATCTATAGTATATCAATAATATACTAGTCAAAGGTCTACATACAAGATCTGGAATCTGATCCTGTCCTTATATGACAAATTTAATTGAAACCTAACAAATCTGCCGTATCTCGCTTGAGCCACCATTTTGTCTAGTCAATGGTCTATTCTCCATTTTTTAATAATTATACTTTTAATCCAGGATTTTCATACTCTAGTTTTATTGATGTTCTCCGGTACAGTTCTCTCTATGTATTCATTCTTTTGTGATTTTATAGCTTTGGCTGTTGTTGTGTATCAATATTGTTATGCTTAATGTTATGCTTTCAATGTTGTTAGGTACATTCTGGAGGAAGGAATCAGATTCTGGATCCCAAAAAATCATTACCTTTTTGTTTTCATACTTATCGTTATAGAAAATGTTCACAATAATTTCTTAAATAGGCCTAACAAGAATGATTAAATATTGTAATAGCTCATTGAGTTAGTGGACATTTTTTTAAAAAGACAAAGGTAAAAGGCATCTTTACCAATTATGCACTGTATCTTTACTACGTGACACTGTTTATAAGAATTATCGACAAAAATAACTAACCATCCAAAGTGTTTATGTTGACTTTCAAATGCTAACAAAATAAGAAAAATTATTATATGTATGAAATTATTTTACGTAAACAGTAAAAAAAAAAAAAAAAAAAACTGATAAGGAGATTATAAAAAAGAAATATTTTGTGTAAATATCTGACAAACTGTCTAATTTTGATGATAAAACCTCCTATTATATACCTACACATATAAAGATGTCACATATATATTTTTTAGATTGAGTACTCTCGAGAGCTAATATTGTTCGACAAATACTTTGAATTTCAATGCATCACTATGCATTAGGTTTAAAAGTTGAACAACACAATGTCAATTTTTATACCTTACTTCAATAAGACTTTAACAAGAGTTTAACAAACAGTATTCATGTTGCATTTGAAAGTGCTGCTATGGTGAATTATGTACTAAAAGTAATTTTATCTTAAGCAAGCTTTTTATTGAGGAAACCCTAATCGTAATCAAACCATTGGTAGCCAACTTATTAGATAATGTGATTGCATCTAATACTGTAGCAAGAAAAAATGTAGCACTTATTTCAAAAGTTTTGTTCAATTTGTACCAAACGTTTTTCACTTCTACTCACATTGCTGTAGGGCGAACTGTTATGGTCCTCCTGGTCCAGAGGGGTGGGAAGGGGAGAAGAGAACTGGAAACTTGTGAGATCTGGTAGAGATCCTGTGTTGTTGCCGATGGGAATCTGAACTGTGCCCGGCTCTTGTGCCGACGGGAAAATACTGAAACATACGGTAAAGGTCATAACTAAAGAAGACCATAAGAGGGATGCAAAAGTAGGTGAAAGAGGAGAGACCAGTAGAAGAAAGTTAAGGAAGAGTAGTACTCAGGTGTAGAAGGGGGAGGAGGAAAAGGAAGAAGAGACTGAGATGGATAAGGGGAATGAGAAGGGGAGGATAAAGAGCAGATGAGGGGGAGTAGAAGGACAAGGAAAATAAGACTAAGTAAATGGAGGAAGCAGAGAAGGAGGTATAGTTGAGGAAGGAGAGAATAAGGATGAGTGTAAGGGGAACGAGGAGGATTATTACCATTTCAATGACATGACTCTATTCAAACGTTTTGCCTTGATTGACTGGACCTATCCAGAAAGATGAGCTTGCCAAAACAGAATGGTTCTACTTACTTTATTCCTGGTACCCGAGGCACCTCGCAAGATCTCGGCCGACCATCCGGACTGACGGACAAGTGTCTTCTGCTGGGCTCGTAGCCATCAGTCAGCTGACCATCCATTGCTGCCAACATAAAGTGAGTCAGTAGTGCCAACAATTAACCCCAGAAGTTTAAAAATCTAAGCGATTAAAACTTATCGGATCGTAAAGGGTTAAAAAGATATCAACTTGAAAGTAAGAAGTCATGTTTATAATTGAGACTTAAATGGAATGAAAATAGATCAAATTTTGTTTATTCTAACTGGCAATGAAAATAGTGAGAGAACTATATCTGAGGACGCTATTAGCCAAGAGTCAAAACTGATGTAGCACAAAACTTATCAATTGTTGATCAAGAGGTTCAAATCAAAGTATGGAATCAAAATATTTTCATTCTTCTAGCCTAAAAACTTCTGTACCTGCCTTATTAGACAAATAAAATTTTCGAGGATCAAAAAAGTCTTTTAACCTGAAAATAAAAAAGTGTTGTAGCTACTTACTGCAAAGTTTTCATTTGTATTAATAAGGGGAACTGCCCAATAAAATATGATGAGTCAAACAAATAACTTTAGGGGTGAATAATTCTTATTGGGTTATTTGCTGTCCCCAATAATTACTGAATTTATTTACTGGTATATATAAATCTTGAGGCGCATGTTTATAACATACAACGCTAATATTTACGCACAAAAAGTAAAATTTTAAATACTAATCCTAATTCTGTACGGCTTTTATATAAGACACATTCGTTCATCACATTCACACACCTCATACATATTCATTGTCCACCCCCTAACATGTCCTAAGAGCATATTAGAATGTTTATGTGCTCAAGACGTCACCAATAATATAAATTTCTTATGAACTCAGGACTAAAATATTAGAAAATAAATCAAACTTAACATAGCTACAACTTTGTGAAATTATGTATCATATTGACAATAATATCAGGGCAAATACATGTAAATATGTCTGTCTATGATATTTTTGTCTATGATATGATATTTTTAACCGATGTGACTGGTGAAAAAATATCCCTTTACTCAAAACACATGTATTTTTTTGCCAAAGAATTGAAATACTAGGGGGTGGGGGGGGGGGGACTTTTGACAGTAGTAATTCATTTAGCTAAGTTCTATTTGGCTACAACTAGTCAATATAGATGGGATGTCTACTTCAACTTTCAAAACTCACATAAATTGGTTAAAATATTTAAAAAATTTGTTTCCATTCCAAACATTTTTTACACACTCATTTTAGTCCTTGAATAACAATTTGTCTCTTACAACACTAACAGAGACGCAGAAACTATTTTATCACCAGGTGTCAAGGTAATGGAGGTTGCAGAAATATTCTCTTCACGGTAAAGGTTGTGATAAGAGTTTTATCAATTGACTATTGTCTGCCGATGTTTCCATTAGATAAACATTAAAAGCTGTTTGTTTGTTGCGCTTACACACATTGAAGAGCTGTAAATTCTGTTTCTTACGAAGAAGCCCTCCAAGCTCTAGATCACTACATTCAATTATTATTATCAATTATCAATCATTGAGATGGGGACACCATTCTGATCTGCATATGCCTTTTTACCCAGACCTTACAATATTGCTTCTAATAGTCTAACTGGTCAGTACGCATCGCTGTTGCGTTTAGAGGGTTAATCATTTAACCAAAAACAATCTTGAACCACTTTACAATTGAAAAAAGTGAGCTTAATTGTTTAACACTCATTTAACTAATTTTTTCACTCACCTCTCCGTTGTGACTCGTTTGTCTGCGCGGCCGCGCTCTGGTGTAGCGAGGAGTCACTGTAAGTGCGTCTCCAGTTGCTATCAGGTGGTGGCGGGGAGAGGTAGGGGCCGCTGGAGTAGGGGGATGTGTCATGTCGTCTCTCACCCGGCCGCGATCTGCAATATGATAAAAAGTTAGATTTACTATGGAAATGCAAGATATTTAAATAACAAAGGTATATCCTATGTTCTTTAAGGAAAGTAATTTACAAATTTCGGACTAGAGCGTCCTAGGATGTAAAAAAGTGAAATTTAAGAAAATTCTAGGTTTTTTGTGTTTTTTTCCTAAGGAAAGCCCAGGATCGTTTTTCACATTACTTCAGGCTGAACCTAGGGGTTGCAGCATTATCACTTGGATAACATCTATTGGTGATTGATTTGGTGGTATTTGAACCCCGAACCTCAGGGACCGAAGACCACGCTCTACCACTACACCAGCTCGCTTCCCCACAACTATAGGTTTATCAGGTACAAAATTCAAAATCTCTTGGTGAAAACAATTAAATAACGATAAAAAATGTGTTAATTAAGTCATTCAAAGAACCTACAATAATCCACAAAAACGAAATATTCATAAAATATTTAGTTTTTTACATTAATCATAGTGTTTTTGATTATAGCTTTTGGTTCCAGTTCATCACCCTTACGGACATTACTGATGACCATGTCAGGGATTTAAAATTGAATTCTAAAACTTATATTATTTTGTATAAAGTAAATCTCATTATTTCTCATACAAACTTTAAGGCCAATGACGTTAAAGGATGCATAACAAACACATTACCTCATTGGTCCCCCGGACGTCATAGTCCGGCCCCGATCTCGATAGACAATCTGCGTGTCGCTACGACCTCCGTTCATCTCCTCCAGGTTGCTGAGAGCGGACTGGAACAGAATTGCCAATCGTGAGAAATTATAGAATAAAACATTCATATCAGTAAAATTACAAATTTTGAATGATTGTGTCAATTAGTGCACACAACGGTGTAAATTAGCTTGGTAGGCTATTCCTTGCAAAACATTTTAGATATGTGCTGGCAAAGGACTTTTTGATAAGTCGAAGTGAATCCAACTACCTTTGATCATTAGGCTTTTGATCAATAGTTTTGGGTCAAAAAATAACTGATTTACTCACTAACATGATTAGACAAGAAATAACGATGCATTCTACAGTCACCATTTGGTAAAAATACCTCTCAATTAGTAACAATAACTACAAAGTTTGATTTAAGTAAACCTGCGTAAAAAAGGACTGTTTGAAGACTACCGATTTTGGTAAAATATCAACTTTGTTGCAATAGGGGTTGCTCCTAAAAAAAAAGAAAAAAAAGGTTTTTGACCAATTGAATTTTCTGACAAAATACAGAACTGTAGCCTATTTATGCCTACATAGAAATTTTAGTAAAACTAAGACTGGACAAAACTTTAATTAGAAAAAGTAGCATATGCCTACAGATCTGTTAGTGAAAAACATAATGCAGGCATTTGACTTATCACTCTCAGGTTAACTCCAAAACAAAAATAGTTGTTTTGTGAACTGAGTTTATTAGAATTTGTGCATACCAAGAAAGTCAAACATTATCATAGAAATATATTTACATTAAGTTATACCTTTTATAACAGTTTACTTATTATCCATAAAAATAACCTGGGAATTTTAAATTTACAATTTTAAAATTTCCTCCATATCCAATAACTGTAAAAAAAAAAAAAAAAAAAAAAAACACTTTATGTATTATTTGATTTTTAAGCTCTTTAAAATGGTTTAAAGAGAAACTAGGACATTTTTGTTTTGAGGGGCAAAAATGAGGAAAACAAATTTTTACCCCATAATACCCCATTTCTAAGGTCCGATCATGCTGGTTCACAAACTCATTCTAGTTTATCCTGTCTGACGTCTTCAAGCCAAATTCATTAAAATCGGACAAATACCACTCAAGTTATCACGTTCACGGACGTACCGGTATATAAATCTATACATATATATATACAAATATAACAATTTGTACAGACAGTATTTTAGCCTCTAGAGACATAACAAAAATTATATCGTCCCGGGTTTAGTCTTACTGTGCCACCTATGGGCAAATTTGCTAAAATGGAGTCAAGTTAAGAGGAAAAAAACTGTAAGTGGAAAATAAAGGGAAGTAAGGAAATAGTGTTCAATTCAGTGTCTGTAATCTAAAAAGATAAGTTATTTGACTTCCTATTCGCTGATACAGTGATAAAAATAAGAAGAAAATGATAATCTAGGTCTTTTTTTAACACACTTGCTCATGCCTCTCTATTTATAAACATGCAAATCATTTACCGTCTAATTGTGAAAAAATAATCATAGGCCTATATAAAATATGTAGTACATAAATTAGAGATAATTATAAAATATAATCTATATAAAGCCAAAAGTACCCATGAACTTTTGGGAAAACTACAAGTCACACCTCCATAAACCATATACTTAAAATGTTCGTCATGACGAGAAACCTTGCACAAAACTATCCATTATTTCATAAATTGCCCTTTAAGGTCGTAATTCTTTTCTAAAGGGAACTTTCCATGTACCTAATGTTAAAAATACCTCAGCTGCACTTATTTTTTTGTTATTCTTTCAACTTATTACCTTATTAAAATCAGGTGTGCTTTATTAATTCCTATGAAGTCAAACGGTGTGAAGCCCGTGGGTAACAACTAGTTAATTTAAAAGTAAAAGTAGTCTTAGGGTCAACCAAAACTAATAGGGACAATAGAAACAAGACTTATGTCAAATTATGTAGAAACTATTGTTCTTCTTTTTGCTAAATATAATCCAACTAAAGTAACCCTCCATGAAGAAACAAACTGAATGTTAGTAAATTTCCCATATAGGGACTATGCTATTACCGTAGATCTCAAGGTAAGACCACAACACGGGACCAATTTGTTTTTTCGTTTTGATGTCCCCAGAGGTCAAAAACAACAACCGTTCAAATTCATAATAAGTGGTATTTGACTTTTATAAGTATGGATATGTGTCCGTTGGCATGATAACTTGAGCAAAATTCATACGATTTTGATTAAATTTGGTAAAAACGTGAAAACCTACGTTCATTTGAACAAGTTCGCGAAACAGCATTTAATTGGACCATGGGAACAGGGTTTTAAACCCTCAAAACATAAAATTTCCCAATATCTGTCAAAACCATGTTAAAGAGCTTAAAAATTAATAATTGAATAAATTACAGCTGGTTATTTAGTAGTGTTTATATACAGTTATTGGTTACGAAGAAAATTAAAAAATATTAAATTTAAATTTCTTATGTTATTCTTATAATAAGAATAGATAATATAATAAGAAGGTTAATAAGAAAACTGTAGTACAGTAGTTTGCTTATTTATGGATATTCAATTTTTAACAAACTTTGGATATATATTTATTTTATAATTATAATAAGCTAGGTATTAATATTTTACTAAAAACCACACTTTATGACCCTCCTAGCAGCAGCAAACCTAGGTACTCGTTAAACCTAATGTTATTTATCTATAGGTATACTAGCAGTTACCTGGCGTGCGTTGCTGCGCTAACAACTATTATTTTAAATGGTAATTCATTGTTTACGATAAATAATAAAAATGTATATCAAAAACAAAAATAGAATATTTATTGTAGCCTACTTAATTGCCAGTGGATAAACAATGATTTTTGTTTTTTCATTATACCTTCCGCAAAGATTCGTGGCCACTGAACGATTAGGACGGTCGGGTGGTGTCCCAGCCCCTAAATTAGCCCTCGCTTGGCTGCTCTGGGGTTTGACAATGAGTCACCCACTAGGCTCAATGCATAGTTGGTAAAATTTGTGTATATCACCATAATATGTATTAAATAACGTCAATTTTTGTTACCTGCATCAAATAACAAGAACATTGAGCCCAAACACGAAATAATTGCCATGATATTAAGCATACCACAACACGAAAACTGTTTATTATTTTAAAATCGAATGTATACTTAATATCGTCAAAATTATTTCGTGTTTGGGCTCAATGTTTTTGTTATTTGACACAGGTTACAAAACTGGCGTTATTTAATTCACTTTATGGTGATATGAACGATTTCTTCCAACTATGCATTGAGCCTAGTGGGTGACTCATGGTCAAAACCCAGAGCAGTCGAGCGAGGGCTAATTTAGGGGCTGGGACACCACCCGACCGTCCTAATCCCTCAGCCGCCACGAATCTTTGCGGAAGGTATAGGTGTATAAATATATAAGTTTTTAGGCGTACCTACCAACACGTGAGCACGTAACATACAGCTGTCCGTGTGAAAAGCATGCATTTTCTAAATTTAAACCGGCGATAGTCAGGGTTAGCCATTGTGCCTTATAAAGGTGATTGCGAAAGCAAGACGCAAAGGATATTGTAGTCGCTTGAATTCAAAGGGTAATTCGGATGAAATCATCGGTATTTTTGGGATTAAGACTATTTCTCCTTTAAACTTACCACTGATGATTGTTGCTTTGATCAAGTTTCATGTCATTATTTAATCGTCAGTCTGGTTCCGTTGCACAGCTTGGGTGGATTTAAGTTCACATTAGTATTATTGGAGTTCCTTCTTTTAATGACAGTAATGTGGTGGGTTAATGACGAAGTGGGAGGCATTAGAATACTTGATATATGAGGTACAATTATTTTTTACTTAATAATTTATATTAGATTGTGTGGGTTTAGAACAAAAGATAAAAATATTAATTAATAAAAATATTATTATCCCTTTTATTGTTTATAATACTTTGATAAACGTTTTTACTTTTTATGTTTACATCTTTAATTGTGGAGAATTTAAACGTTGTTCAGTGCACAGGTGTGCTGCGATTGGGGTTTAATATATTTGGACACCTTCCAAAATTAAAACAGTTTTCTGTGCTGCATTCTGTGGAAACAGTGTGGCACTATTTCAAATGATGATTATTCAAACCTACAAAACAGTTGGTGAAAGTAAACATCTGCTTTTAAATTATACTAGTGGCTTGTATGAACACAAGTCCATAAAAAGCTCAAATGCAAAACAAATTATTGTAATTTTAATAATTATGCCCGAGACCCATATGTAAGTAACAATTTTTACATGACATGACTTGAAGTAAAAAAATCTTAAGTGCAGCCTTTTAAGTTAAGAGTAAGAAATTACATTAAATGAAAATCCTTCTTTAGCATCAATGAAAGAATGGAATTATTTATTAGCTAGTATCCAACTAGCCACCTAGATTAATATGCCGATTTGATCGAAAAAAAAAAAAATTGTAAAGTTCATTTAGTTGAATCAGCATAGAGTGCCCTCTCTGGTGTGACCCGCCGGAAGCTAGGAGGATTGGCATTAATCATTTATCCTCCTAGGCCAGGAGCCACATCGGTTATAAATACGGCACTATTATAGCGCCTTCACACTCCAATGGCAATTATGTAAAATAAATATTCTATTTTTGTTTTTGTGGACATTTTTATTATTAGCCTAAAATAATCGTTGTTAATGCAGCAACGCGTGCCAGGTAACTGCTAGTTATATTTATTGGTAAACATTGTAGTTCCAAAAGCCTGACATTGGACCCCTAAAACCTAAAACCCTCTGGGGCGGAGCCCTTTTGACGGATCTGCACCAAACTTCACACAAACCATCCTTGAATAATGCTTAATAATACCTGAAAGTTTCATTAAAATCACGCAATACTTCAGAGTAATGGCTTATATAATTCCAAATGACTAGCACTTCATTTATTAAAGGTTTAGGGATTGCCAATTTTAACCGTCCTTTTGAGTTATCCGACCTGGGTCAAACCTGGACCTGGGACAATTAGGATTCTACGTTAGCAAATAATTTAACAATATTTCGTATTGGTTAGTTTTTAATC